TACATTATAAACCTTAATAAAAAATCGATACAGGACTTTAGAATATCGATACAGTATCGGGAAATGAAATATCGCAATATTTCAGTGTATCAATATTTTCTTACACCCCTATTATTAACATGGTGGGCCGCCATTCTTTACTTACTCCCCCTTTTGTGTGACTCACTCCTGTCTCTCCTAGCTTAGCACCCACAGCAAGACTTAATGCAGTAGCTGAGATCTTACCTCTTCTCAACCTTGTCACAGAAACATCACTGAACTATTGCTTTAATATTTGACCTWTAACAGGTGCAACAGATTCACTTTTGTTTATCTAAGCCCATATTCTATGCAAACATCTGCAGTAACAGAAAACAGCACAGATGTACATATCTCTTGGATCTCAGTCATCCACCTAATGACTGTCAACATGTTATGTCTGGTTTTTCTATACTAACTGGCTAGAAATAAGAAGACCACTTAATACCACAGAGTAATAAATCTTTTACCTTTAAATGACAATTAAATTGAAGTTAATGACATGGGTTACAACAGACCTCAGGCAGCTATCAAAACAATAAGTCTGCCTAGTCAGTGTTTAGTGGCTTCATTTTTCTTGGTAAATCAGCACATTAGGAAAAATGTGAGTCTTCACTCATCATATCATGACAGCAAATTAATACACTAAACATTAAAGCAAGTTTTCGTTTTTGGCAGAAATCCTATGACAAGTGTACGTCAATCAACAAGAAAGCCTTACATAAAACAYCAAAACTGACTTAGAGAGATAAAGTGACATATCTCTGCCCCTCTGCAGACAGCTGAGTCTTTGCCAGAGCAAACTGACTCAACAACATGGRGAAATGTTCTTTGTGTGTCAAATTTCATTTTGTTTATGTGAAGCGGTGGCACGAGGAATGCGCAATAAATCAAGCCGAACCTTCAGCGTGTGCAAACGTTCCCCCACAGCAACAAAATCATGTGTCTTATAAATGTTATTTATCTTTCAGGATGGGGAAAACTGACAGACAGTAAAGGTTTTGTGATAACTCAAAAAACACTGGGGTCAACTTTGTCTTGAGAAGTTAAAGTGCCTGTGACGAAAAATTTTTGTAATACATGCAGTATGAATGCATTTTTGAAAAGATGTCATTGACAATTTATTGCAGAAGAAATTTGATGTCACTGAGACGAACAGTTGTTGAGATTTTTGCCTGTAAAGTAACAGGAAGTGACGTCAAAGGGGAATGTCTGCATGTGAACAGAGCATTGCTACAACAGCTTACAGCCCAGACTGTAGTGAACAATTTGAGGCTTCTTAAGATTATTTTGAGTCACAATCAGCGAGAGATGAAGAGGAGTCAGAGTTCAAATAGTATTGTTTCAATAAAGAAAGACCTGGGAGTTTTCTGTGTTAAAGAGTTCCCCTTTGATGTCACTTCCTGTTTCACTTTGGCTGAGTTAAGTTCAAAAGAAAATAGGCCAGTTATGTGTGTAATGAATCACTCTGTCGCCCACAAAATGGGTAAAACCATGTGTATTATTCTAACTTTCTTAAATATGAAGATGTTTTACTTTTTTATTTGAAGAATATGCATGTCACAGGCACTTTAAAACCAGTTTATTACATCCAAACTGCCAAAATCTGCTCTCATTGGCGCAACTGCACGACAAAATGGGGGGTGTTTGCAGCTTCAGGTCTTCCATCCCTTCTTGTCACAACCTGCCGAGATAACTTTTCTCCCCTCTCCACATGAGAACTTATTATATGAATGGTCAGAAGTTCAAAGTCGTGTTTATGCCAAAAGCACTAGGACACTGCTTCAACTACTGGCGTGAATCCAGCTGTTGTACCAGTAGCAGACATTTATAAAGATAGTCAAATGGCCAAAAAYTCATGGATGGAGATGRCAAAGGTGCAWGGAGGAATCTGTTTGCCAAAAACTATGGCGCTTTAACTGGGACAGGTTTGTGTACAAAATATTGGCGAATATCAAAGGTTTTTCTTTGTTATTCTCCATAGTGTGGACTCCACATACAAGTCAATCTCTTCAAGCGTTTACCTGTATTTTGACCCTCAAAAATCTGTATCACTTACACGTGGGGGGGCCGGATTAGGTGGATGTCAGYTGCGGGGAAAGATAGAACGTGGGGCCAGAGATAGGAGGAAGAAAATGTAGAGAATTTATTTCTAGAGGCAGAGCAGGTTGGGAGATGGTTATTTATTTTTATTTATTGGGTTTTTTTTCACGCCCCACAGGTTCTGAGACATAAAATTAAATTTTTTCTAAAAATTTTATTGTAAAAAAAATAGAGATTTCTTTATAGGTTTGTATGCCTGCAAAATGGAGGGAAATCTGTTTATTTATGGACAATCCGTATAACTTGACATTTATGACTTAAGAGGGAAGAAACCCTTTCTAGTGATGTATTCCGCAGCGGGAGGGGTTTCCCAGGAGCTCTGCACGGTGTGTCTCCGGGGCTATGAAAGGTGCGTGCATAAACAAACATCAAATAACCACAGGGCAGTGAGTTGATTGTTCGGCTTTGGAATGAGCATACTGGGCCCTCTACAGTCTTGGAGCATCACACAGGTATAACAAGCAGGTCTAAAAGTCTCATGCTTGAGTAAAACTGAACTTACGAATGCACAGGGGGAAGTAAGAGCGTCCATCAGCGCAGCGATCACACTTTTCTCCAGTAAAWTGCGGCTTGCAGACACATCTTCCTGAACCCATTTCACATCGAGCTGTCGTCCTTTCATCACAGCTGCAGGCTGAAGGGATGATTTTTATGAAAGATTGCTGAAMAGTTTGATCATAAAATTGAGTGCATCTAGCAGGAAAACACTAAAGACCAACAGTAGGACAAGCCCAGATAAATTATCAGTACATAACAGTGATAAATCAATTTAAGAAAGCTTATATTGCAAGATAAAATATCTTCAAATAAAATGTTGGTTATCACTGACTGACTCTAAGCATCCTCCCAAGCTAAGTTGATGTAATTGCATTTCTGAATGGGATGGTTTACTTTTCAGAGTGTTCAGGGCAAGCCATTTAATTCCACTACTTTGTAATGTCCAAACACAACTGTGGGCTATTTATACTGCAGMGAACAGCTCCAGAGGATCTGAGCAAAGTAAACAATAGTAAAGCTCAGGTCAGAGACAGTACAGCAGCGGTGCCACTTGTGCCTGTCTGAAACAATGAGCTTAAGCCTACACTATTTCAGCTCCACTGGTGTATCGCACAAACTGCGGGTCAAATGGCTTGAGGGGGAGACTTGGTTCAAGCAGCAACTATCAAATGTTGTGAGGTGATAAATTACACTTTGCAAATACACCTAATCAGATAAATTAATGATAATAATTCCAAATTGTAYGAAACCAAGTCAGGAGACTGAAAAAAATATTTAATTTGAATCTCAAYTACTTTTAAATTACTTATCTTGCTCAGCTGAATGTATTTTTTTCCTTATGAAATCACCATAACAAACAGTAACAATTTGGCATTTATTAAARGCTGTGCTTTTATCTTACTCTCTTGTGTTGTACATGTCAGGTTTGCTGATGTAAAATGATACAGGCAAAATATTTTTAGAATAGTAAGTCTGAGTTTAAAGTCTCTTAAGGGAAAACAGAATTTCGACTAAATTACTGATAAAAGTTACAGTATGTATTTGATCAATTTGTTAGCATTAAAATACACGCATAAAAAAGGCTTCCAGTGTTTTTTTTGTTCCATCTTCAACTTAAAGTCTCCAAAATTTTCACAAGTTGGCATAARTTGTCTAAAACGTTATARWGTGACAGGGCCTTTACTTGCACAACCTTTCGTATTTGTGACAGTCACCTTAGCAACATTTATCAGTGTTTGCCACACATGCCGGGTCACAAAAAGACTCTAAACTCATGTGTTGAATGGAAGAAGGCAAACTGCAGCAATCCAACACAGAGAAAAAAAACTACTTGAAGAAATCCACTTCCAGAAAACAGAGAAACAAAAATACAGTATTACTGTGGAAATTCAGACATTAGATTCTTGCCAAACAAAGTTCTCATTGAAGAAAACTGTGCATTTTCAACCAAAACAAAGAATCAAACAGAAAGTTTTACTCACGTATACATCCAGTGGGAGACTCAGGCCGTACTCCAYGAGGTCGGTAGAAGCCCTCTCTGCATCTCTCACAGTTTATTCCAGCAGTGTTGTGCTACAGAACAAAAAAAACATGTTTGACACAAAACTAAACTAAGAGGTAAAGAACGTCACTGTGTTCTTTTACCTGAATTTTAAACAGAAAACTAAGAATGTTATTTATTTGGCTTTATGAAGCCAACGAGAAATGAAAATAACCATCTATACAGGCCCTAAAATATTCATAAACAAACAGTTATTTTAGTTCTCATAATATGCCAGTGCCTCTGTACTTCTAGTCATTTTTCATGAAAGACTGCAGCTGGTAGCTTCTCTGTGCCAACATAAAAACAGGCTTTGTTTAGCAGCACTCTGTGGATTAACCAACATACAAAAGAAAAAAAAGTCCAGGGAGTTCAATGCAGATCTAAAAAAAGGCTTTCTAAGCACAACAAAACTTTTAAAAAGTGTCTAACATTAAAAAAGCAAACAAATCCTGACTCATTTTTTAAAAAATGAAGTACTCTGCCACGTATTTTAACAATGACCAAATGTAAACAGATGTTAGGGTTACACTAAAGTTTTTACATKTGGTCAATGCTAAAATAGGTGTGACAGATAACATCACTTTTTTTCAAGTTGAGTCAGTGTCAGTGTGGCTCTACTTCAACTTAAACTCAGTTATTATTTTAGTGAGTTGCATAAGTTACTTGAAAGTGTAGCCATGTTGTTAATTTAAAACATAAACCTGTCACCCTAAGCTGGGAGGAAGAGACCGACCCAACATTCAAAAATTCGAATAAACTTGAAGGATAGATGTACCTCGGTTCAAGGAATAATATTGTGGAATAACTTGGACAGCGATTATAAAAATGCTGATTGCATTAATTTATTTGGTAAAATGATAAAAGTTAAATTGTAGAAAATATATGAAACTACATAACTTGATTTTTACAAGCTGATGTTTCAGTGGTTAAGTTTTTGGTTTTTTTTTTATTAAGCTGATGGGGTCAAATTATGTATGTGCATGTGTATGTGCATATAC